TCAATTTTATCTTTGTAAGTGTCCAGACTTGTGAAACACTAGTGAAAAAAGGAAATATTTTCCTTGTTAAGTTTGGTAAATTTCCTATTACCTTGGTTACTTTGTTTATAACGTGTATTGTTTGATTATGAGCGAGGCGTTCCTGCATATACTTTTGTTGTAGTTGTAGCATTTCTTTGTTTTCTATATCTCGATTTAATTAGATCGTTTCGTAACGCATGTATTACGGCCAGAATTCTACATAATCGGATGCTTATTTGCGTTTAACGAGCATTATAATTAGTGTATGATATGTTTTGTATTAATATTTTCATCGGAGAGCAAGTAGAAGAACATTTGAAGATCCATTTCTGAACAATTTTAAATGGTACGCACACATAATATATACGGACTAAGCCTTTCAAATACAAGTCGTTATAAAGAGGTCAATGAAAGAATTAAATTCGGAAGAGAATGTAGAATGAACGTATAAGATATATTGGGGAAGGTGGTTAAACTGATTGACTGACTAAACAAATTGAAAGAAAAGGATGGCGTTTATTCCGAAATAATCACTAATAACGTTAGGTTCCAAAACAAATACAGGACTGTTATAAATGAGGTGAATAGGTTTTACCTGCTTTGTTAAAATCATGAAAGGAAGGCATAAGGATAGTGAGGGGAAAGGTAAAATATCAGAATATATTACAAACTTTAGCTCTTTTCTCTTAAGTCTTCTGAAACACTTACCTTAGGTATTACATTTAAGTCAAGTCATGTATCTTTTACAACTCGCTTCGTCGAAAACTAGTCTCAGACAGCAAACTAGTAATAGAGTAGAAAATAGTAATGCAGTAGTGCGTTTTTGATAAATCCGTTATCTCAACGCAAGTTGCTTCTAAATGACTCCTCCTACTCAATCTTTTCTCCTTCGTAAGAATGTAGTAGCATCGTGTAATCTGTTTGACTATTTCTGTTCAATTATCTCTCTCCTGTGCTAGTTGTTTTGCTTCTGAGAATGAGTAACTAGTCATCTCCTTTATTTGTACCGACCATCGTACTGGAGATCTTCCTCTGGATCTTTTGCGTCGGAGAATCGCGTCTTCGCATCCTCCAATATTAGTAGTAATAACGGAGCCTAAGTAATTCTTATCTCTGCCTAGTTGTTTCTGATTCTATCGATGATCATCACATTGCGGTCCTCAAAATTTGACGCATACTATGTTCGCTTATATATATATATATATATATACAAGGTGGTCCAGAATTATGTACATTAATTTCTAGAGCTCATAGTACGTCCAAAAATAAGGGTACTTCTTTATGTACACGTTTTTATAAAACTGAATAATAAGGGAGATATAACCCTTTAAAGGGGTGAATTGAAATTCTTATTTTTTCAAATATCTTACAAACGGTTTTGAATATGGAGTTCATATTTTGGAAGTGATTATAAGACATTAGGATAATTAATTTCATGTCACCACCTACCACATCCTATATTAATACAGGGTAGTTTTGGAGGGTAAGTGGGGGTTATTGCGTCACATGTTTTTTGATTTTTACATATTTTAAAAAAATATTTTAAAAATTGTTTCCTTAGACATTTCTACGCAAAAAAGGCGCTCTTGTAATATTTCGATAGATATCACCGTTTTCGATTTATTTAAACTCGAAGGTATACATGTATTTTATTGTAATCGTTACATTTCTTAATATTCATCAAGTATGCTTTGGAATTGACACTTGTGTTAGCAATAATATTACAAATTAATGAAAAACTTAATTAATACTTAACATTTAATTAATAGCGAAAATAATATTTCACAGCAACTGTTCAAAATGTCCACCATTTTGTTGAATACATAATCAAATTCTTTTATTTAGCGAACGCATCCATTTAACTGGATCGTTTTGTATATCGGTAAATACTTGTTCAATTTTTATCTCTTAATTCATTTACTGTATTAATTGGAGTGTTATATACTTTTGATTTCAAATAACTTCATACTGTAAAGTCCATTGGATTAAGATCACAACTACGAGCAGGCCAATGAATCGGTGCATCCGCATCCCGGCCTATCCACCTATCAGGGAAATGTTCATGTAACCACCTTCTACAAATTCTTGTGTAATGTGGTGTAGCACCATCATGCATGAAAAACATGTTTCTTCGTATTTGTAATGGAATATCTTCCAAAATATCATGTAAAATATTGTCTTGAAAATTGTAATACATTTTACCATTTAAATTTCCGGGAAAGATGTGGTATCCTATGAAACTATTTCCTAAAGTAGCTGCCCAAACATTTATCTTGAACGTGTGTTGGAAGTGAGTTTCCATTGTAGCCCTTGGATTTTCTTCAGCCCAGAAGTGCATATTTCTAGAATTGAACATACCTTGTCTTGCAAATATGGCCTCGTCTGTAAACAGAATTTTGCTTAAAAACTTTGGTGCAGTTTGAACTTTATTTTGCAATACTTCACAAAATCACCTCTAAGTGGCATATCGACAGGTAACAATTCCTGCACCTGTCGATAGTGGTAAGGATGTAATTGCTCTTCATGCGGAACTCTTAAAACACTTTGATGGGAAATATTCGTTCTTAATCCTAACCTGGGTGTACTTATTGTGGGGTCATTTATTACAGCATCCAATATTTGCTGTTCAACGCGAACATTTCTTGCTTCTCTATGACGACACGCATCTGTATTACTATTTGAATTCTAGACCTATTTGAATTGTGTGTCATATTGCGGGCAAACAAATTTAAAAATATAGCAAAAGACACGTGTTAAATAAAATTTCACTGACGAGTACAGTAAAAGTGTAGATAAAATAATTTAATTGATATTAAACATCACTGACAATTCATAGACTACTTGAGATTAAAGTGTTGTTGCTAACACAAGTGTCAATTCCAAAGCATACTTGATGAATATTAAGAAATGTAACGATTACAATAAAATACATGTACACCTTCGAGTTTAAATAAATCGAAAACGGTGACATCTATCGAAATATTATAAGAGCACCTTTTTTGCGTAGAAAAGCCTAAGGAAACAATTTTTAAAATATTTTTTTAAAATATGTAAAAATTAAAAAACATGTGACGCAATAACCTTCACTTACCCTCCAAAACTACCCTGTATTAATATAGATGTGGTAGGTGGTGACATGAAATTAATGATCCTAATGTCTTCTAATCACTCCCAAAATATGAACTCCGTATTCAAAACCGTTTGGAAGATATTTGAAAAAATAAGAATTTCAATTCACCCCTTTAAAGGGTTGTATCTCCCTTATTATTCAGTTTTATAAAAAAGTGTACATAAAGAAGTACCCTTATTTTTGGACGTACTATGAGCTCTAGAAATTAATGTACATAATTCTGGACCACCTTGTATATATATATATATATATATATATATATATATATATATATATATATATATATATATATATATATTGAATAGAAAACCTGTTGAACTCCAGATTTTAATTTGAAGTTTTTGGAAACCACATTATTAACTCTTACAGTAGCAGTATGAGTTACGTATAGTTTTTGTAATAAACAGATTAGATGTTCTAGTGTAACCATTTCTCTAAGTATATGCCACATTTTATCCCATTTTACGACATCGAAGGCCTTGGAGTAGTCAACAAAGCATAAATATGTTTCTAAGTTGAACTCTTGAGATATTTCGATAATTTGACGAATATTAAGAATATGTTCTCTTGTTCCTCTATCTGGAACGAATCCGCATTGTTCTTATGAAATTTGTGGTAAGAGAATTGATTTTAGTGTCTCATTGAAGATGGTTAGAAGTACTTTGCTCGCATGTGATATCAATGCTACTGTACGGTAATTACTGCAATCTGTCGGTGAACCTTTTTTATATATGGGAATAAACGTGAGTTTACCCCAGTTTTGGCCATTTGGCCTCATTTGGCCATTTTCCGGTATTCAGATCTCATTGCAAATTCTAAGCATTACTTCCGTCCCTAATTCTCCCATTTCTTTGAGTGCTTCAGCTGTTATTTCATCTTCTCCTTCTGTTTTTCTGAATTTTAGCTTTTTAATTGCTACCTCAATTTCTGAATTTAATATTTGAGGTTCTTTTCATAACATCTTTTCTCTGTATTATTGTCTGGGACGTTGTTAGAGAATAGTATTACGCAATATTATTTTCACACCGTTTGGGTTTGTTATTTCCACTATTATCTTTGATGATTTGTGTCTGTGGTTCAAATTCTCTCGCTAGATACTTGACATTTGAGACAAGTTCTCTAGATTCTTGGCAGTTAGCATGTTCCTCTAGTGGTATACATATGTTTTTAATATAATTATTTTTGTCTCTTCTGCACATTATAGTTGTATTTATGGTGCGTATCTCTATTTTTTTTTTGTTTTGAATTTGATGTGCTGTTTCGTCTTTCTTCTACAAGATTGAGAGTCTCTTCAGTCATCCAATGTCTTTCCCAGCTGTTTTGTCTTTGGGATTAGTATTGTTGATGGCTTCAGTGATCCATTTCTTTGTGTATTCCCACGTTTTGTCAGGGTGGTAGTCACTGGTACGTCAGCTTCTGCTAACGCTTTTCTAAACTTTTCCGGATGTTTTGAAATCAATTTTTGCGTTTTATTTGTGATTGTTTTACTGTGTAACTTAATATGAAATTCTGCTTGTAACATTTTGTGGTCGGAACCCCAGTCTGCAGCTGGCTCTAAACGACTAAATATGTATAAATGACATAAAAGTATAGCAGGAAGAAAATAGCGGCGACTTTTTTTAAAACAAACTGAGTAGGTATTATTTCATTTTGTAATATTAATTCGAGATGTGACCGAATTAAGGAATTTAGCTTTCAAGCAACAGTCAATACTGCACAACATACGAATAATAGATTATTCGGTTTTTCCATGAGTCATTTTCGTTTATTCCAATAGTAACAAGAACGGTTCAAAGCCGGCCCTGCGGCAACGTTAAATAACCTCTCTTCGCCGACTGAAAGCCGGCAAGCCGCAAGCTCAATGCATGGTTCCATTATGTCACTCTATCGCGTTGCGTTTCGTGTTTCGTACAAATAATCACTACACTTACACTAGTTTTTATTCAGTAGGTAACTAATAGTGCGTTGTGTAGTGTGTTATACCTACTCGCTAAATATCCAAATTGGTCATTTCGGGGGAGTAACGTGTTGTGATTTTTTTTTGTGAATTTAAAAGGCAACAAGTTACATTTGTAACAGCTCCTTTCAACACGTGGTAGTTGTGATTCATGCGAAGGAAGAATCAGGTGAGTCTGTCTGGTATTTTATTGTATGCACTTGGTTTTGGAAGGGAGGGGTGGTAAACCGAGGAGAATCACAGTTTGTTATCTATCGGAATGCAAAGCTGATTAGGCTAAAAATAAAGATGATTTTTAATTTTTACGATTCTAACTAAAGGTATAATTTATTTGGTTTTCAATTTATGGATATTTTTAGCTACATATTATTGTGAAAAAAAATTATGTAAAATATCGCAAATAAATAATTAGACGCCGGAAGTATTTTATTCAAAACATGTGGAATTCAGTCATTTAAAAATAATACTGCACTATATTAATTTTGCAATAAAGGAGCATTTTTGTTCCACATGCTTATTTTTTATTAGTTTTTATTGTCGTTTTTACTACACGATAAAAATGATGTATTTTGCTAAATTACTACATAAGAAGTCATAGTTTGTATGTTTATATTTTTATACATAAAAATAATAATAAACAAAAAAATGAATAAATCATCATCATCAGTAGCTCGACAACCCTTTCTGGGTCCTGGCTTGTTCTAGGAGTTTCCGCCATTCTGTTCTGTTCCTTGCTTTGTTTTTCCAGTTGGTAATCTTAAGTGTTTTCAGATCTTGTTCCATGTCTCTAAGTTTGGGTCTTCCCTTTGACCTTCTTCCAACTGGTGTTTGCCTCATTATATTATGTTTTGGTATTTCAGTCTCCAACATCCGTTCAACATGGCCCATCCAGCGAGACCTCCAATCTTTATGGATGTTATGATCTCGGGTTCATTGTATGCTGTGTAGCGTTCAAAGTTCTATCTTTTTCGCCATATGTCATTTTCCTTCACCCCCTTATATATGTGTCTAAGGATTTTTTGTTCAAACGTACATAATAGGTTCTCATCGCTTTTCGACAGTGTTCATGTCTCTGATCCATATAGAAGGACCGGTTTTGTCAGGGTCTTGTATGTTTTGCATTTGGTTTTTCTTGTGATGTGTTAGATCTTAGATGTTTAATTAGTCCATTATATGTTTTATTAGCGATATCAAAGAATATAGACCTATATTCTTTGGCGATATGTGTTTTTCTCTTAACTTCTTCACTGACATTGTTATCTGCGATAACTAATGAACCTAGATATATGTAAAATTTTTCACGCTTTCGATGTTATAGTCTCCTATTGTCAGATTCTGTAGGTTTCTTTGGCCCTTCGATTTACTGGCCCTCTTGTATTTGGTTTTTATTTCGTTAATGTTTAGGCCACTGTTTTGTGCTGCTCTTTTTATTGCATTAAATGCTTCTATCATCTCTCTTTCGTTTCTAGCTATGATATCAACATCATCTGCAAATGCCATTATAACTGTACACCTGTACACTTTTTGTACACCTTTTTGTTTATACCTGTACACTTTTTGTTATTATTGTTCCTCTGGTGTTGACTTTGGACTCTCCTAATTATTTTCTCTAATGTGATGTTGAATGGAATACAGGATAGGGCATCTCCCTGTCGTAGGCCCGTTCTCACATGGATTGTATCTGTTAGTGCGTTTTGAATTCGAATTTTGCTTTGTACTTTAAGTGTTTTTTTTACTATATCAATGAGTTGAAAAATGAATAGAGCTTTAGTCAAATATTAGGCACAATGGTCACACATCTTTATAGGTATATTAAGTACAATAGGTATTTCATGAGACGGATTAATAATTATAATTATATTAATAATCATTATTAAAAATACTTTATTATTAACATTTAGGTGTCAAACTCGAAAAATTTATAATTTATGGCATGGAACTTTGGATATGCTTCGGATCCTTATTGGTGATTTACTATTCTGTAATTCAGACGTTAATTCTCCCCATTATGGATATCCTATCAGTAAGCTGGCAAAAAAGTATGAATTTATATCAGAATATAAATTTTTTATTTAGTTCAGTCGTCAGAGAGTTGACCCCTAAACATTATACGAACAAGCTAATTTTTGTCGAGAATATTAATTTTGGGACACTAAAAATGATGCAAAAAAGTTTACCATTTTTGCTGCCGGGCTTCCCCCTAAAAACCCCCCCGTAGCGGGTAAAAACATAAAAAAAATCGATTTACCATCTGCACATCTGTGAAATCTGTGAGATTTCACTCCACTACAAGAGGGCTTTTAGGGGGAAACCCGGAGGTAAAAGTGGTTAATTTTCTTGCATCTTTTTTGAGGCCCCAAACTTAATGTTCTCGGCAAAATTCAGCTTGTTCTTATGGTTTTGAGAGGTTGAGTGGTATTCTCGTCTCTGACGACTAGAGTAATTTTATTTATTTATATCATTTTTGTCTATAGCTTATTAAGTAATGTATGCATCGATTTAAATGGTATGATATCCTAAAAGGGATAATAGTAACTTTGTTCAATATTTTAAGCACTCTATACTTATATTTAAGTAATGGGATATACAATTAATAGCACCAAAATAGAACAATGGTACGAATTCCTAAATTGTTTCTCAATTATTATAATAGTACCTATTTACGACGAAATAACCTAGTTCGACTTTTTTTTTCAAGGAAAACAATTTTAGCTCATAGGTTAACGATATTGTAAGATCATATCGACAGTTACAATCACTGTCGTCACTATCCTTATTCATGACTGATGTAAACAAAATACAGGATTAAATAATTCATTCGATGCGATTTTGACAACTTCACCATGTTAACTTTGCTTTAAAAAATACTATACTAGTACTAGGAGGAGATACTGTTTTATTGATAACATACTACTACTCATCTTTATTTGGTAGAATATAAAATTAGCAAGTATGTACAAAAATTGAACAAAATAAAAATTCCTATATTGTTTATAAAATGCAATACCTATTTACTACAAAATAATAAGGAAACTGCATCGGATTCAGTCACAATAACTGTCGTAAATATCCCCATGCGAATTATATGATTGACGACAAGATTAATTACTGTATTGCATTCTTTTGCTAGTACATTGTATTCCGCGTTTGTAAAGCCGTGATCTGAAATTCTTTCTTCCCACTTTGTCCACTTTAACGACCAAAAACAAAAGGAAAGTTTCAGGTACCATCAGTGGGAGCCACACTTCCTGTAGTAAGATACTCTTTTTGACATCTTTTGCCATCATTTTGGACACGCATTATTATCCCGAAAGTAGTTTCTTTACTTCCATCGTCATTTTTCTTCCTCCTACCAGTTCCAGCGATATCCCCTGGTCTTGCCTGTCTATTCTGTTGACATCTTTCCTTCTTGTCAAATTTTCTTTAAGTTCCTTTATTAGGTCTGCGAACGAGGTTTCTATAGTTTTATTTATTATGATCATTCCCTTTTGTTCTCTTAGTTTGATGGTGGCCCATTCCCTCCTTATTCTTTTTCCTACTAGCGTGATGATTACATATTTTCCTCCTAAGTACATCCTAGTATTCTTCTTATTGTTTCTGTCCCCAGGGTAACCGGAGTGTGAATCTCGACTTTGTTTCTTCCCAGCTATTCCAAATTGTGTACCAGCTTTCTAGTGGCCTTGAGGAACTTTGTGGTCTCTGGTTCTTCCTTTGTATTCAGGAGCAGTTTGAATCCGTACGTCTCCTTATTTATTTATTCCCCATCCTTGTGGGCAGAGATTCTAATCCACTTTCGTCGGAGCAGTTGGCAATTCTGTGAATATGGCCCGTACTTTTTCCATGGCCTTATTATCCTTTTCGTGTTTTGTGACGAAGACTGTCACGTGCTTTGTTGTTTCGGAAAGATCTCTTCCTTCGAAAGGCCGGAGGTTTTCACGAAAGATAGTGTTCGTGAAGACCTCTGGCCAGTCCTCGTTGAGAGGTTCTATATCTACTCTGCTTGCTATTCTTTCGTTAATTACTTCGACTCTTTTTTGTGTTATATTGGTTTGTGTGTCTCTGGATGTTGTGCACACGGGATTCCTCAGAACCTCTTCCTTCTTCTTATTTGCTTTTAATTCATTAAGGTAGTCAAACATCCGATTGCTGAAAATTTCTACTTTCTTCTTAATACCCAGTTTAGTATTCGGCACCGCTCTCATGATGTTGTCCAGTGCCGTAACGCTTTCGTGGAGGAATTCAAACTTTGATTTATTGTAGGTGGATTGCGCTTCTCCGTCCGGGTTGGACGTATACGAAACTAACCTTTACTTTTTCATGTTTCTGCTCTTTGGTCTTTGTGTTTGCCACTCATCATCAGTATATGGGCTACTCGCTTCCCCTTCTTTTACTTCTAATCTTATGTTTTCCTTTGCTTGGTCTTCTTTCTTTTTTTTCCATCTTTCTGGTCTCTTTTATTTTTACCTTTCCTCTCTTTTCTTTCATCCCTCCCTTTCTTTGGCTTCTTTTTTCTGTGACATCTTTGATCTCTCTCTTGGTCGCCCTCTTTCTTATACCTTCCTCTTCTTTCTATCTTGTCTCTCCTATTGTCTTTTTCCTTCCCACTCTGATCATTCTACGAAATAGTTCTTAGGCAAACTCTCATGGCTTTACAAATTCCGATACCAAACTTCCGTACCTTTTCCAACTTCATTAGAATTCCTCCTCCTTGGACAATTAGCATTCCTTAATCCGACACTCCTTAAATATTTATACAGACTAAAAATTCCCATCGACTAATAGATACCAAGAATACTCGACTTAAGTTATAAAAAATGTTGTCTTTCTATTATCTTAGTAAATTGTAACCCTCAGTTGTGAAATTAGATTATAATGCTACAGCAACGGAGAATTACAAGTAGGTACCATTTCATTTTAGAAAAGCTTAGTCTTAATCCTACTACAAAGTCATTTTTGTATTTAAATGGCATGGTTATGTTTTCGGACCAGGTAGAATTTAATAAATTTTCTATTGTACTTTCAATTATAAATATGGTTACTCATTACTCGTAAGTCTCTATCATAATAGACTTTTCAGTTAGGGACACAAAAATGTATCTCCGCTACTTCATCTAATTGTTGATATTTGAAAACACAATTTATCCATTGTTGCGTATGATTGTATTACCG